CTGCACTCCAGTCTGGGCGACAGAGTGAGACTCCAACTCAAAAAAAAAAAAAAGAATAAAAAATGACTTTATGCAATCCAAATAATAAAAGAAGTATGTTTCCAATAATATATATCATCACGTTTGTTTTTAGAAAGGCAAAGCTCACTGGAAAACAAAAAGGAGCAAGAGTTTGAGCTCTGCCCTCATGCAACTGTTTTACCTAAAAATGGGGTAGAACTATGCTGGGGCAATGGTGGATGGTGGGGGTGATGACTACAAACTTATGATCTTATTTAAGGGAATGGGGGGAAATACTGATTTCTTTCTTTCTTGTTTCCTAGAATCTGAATCAGAAGGTGAAGAAAACTAAACAACTCAACAAGCACAATACCTAGGTTCCCACACAATACTTTCTGATTGGGAATGCTGAACCGTTTGGGCGGAGAAACTTGGCTTCTGTTTTCACAAAGGAAAAAATAAAATAGGATAGGCTTCCCTTGTGCAGACTGGGAAATGGTTTTTGTTTCTGTTTTGTTTTTAAATGGAGCCCTGAGGCATCAGCTGTTATACTTGGGACTCTACCTCTCACTCACTGTATGCTAACTTAAAGCCATTTAACAAGGAGTCAAGTAGGAATCCGAAATTAAGTACTCAACAGACTCCTCTTTTTTAGCTGTATTTTTCAGGTACTGTGTGGTGAACGCCCCACTGGTGTCTATTACAGGCCACTTTGGTAGTTGTGTATCTGCTCGTGTATGTGATTTGACAAACCAGTTTTTTAAAATAAATGGCTTTTTAAAAATCTGGGCTTATATCGTCAGAGCTTTTATTTTTTTTCACACGTGGCTTCTTACACAGATGGTATCTCAGTGTTGTACTTTTTTGTCCCATCCAAAGTGTTGAACAGTCACATTTCTTGTCATCTATAAAAACTCCTCTATTCCTTTTATCTTATGAGTAAGACATTTCAGTTATGCTCATAGTGAAGCAGAAATTAGTCCCCAAATACATGCACATTGGTATTAATACCATCACATTATTATCATTTTATTTTTTTGAGTTGGGGTCTCGCTCTGTCACCCAGGCTGGAGTGCAGTGGCATGCTCACGGTCACCACAACCTCGACTTGCTGGGCTCAGGTGATCCTACCCCCTCAGCCTTCCAAGGAGCTGGAACCACAGGTGTGCGCTGCCACACCCAGCTAACTTTTTAATTTTTTGTAGAGACGAGGTCTCGCCAAGTTACCCAGGCTGGTCTCAAACCAGTGGGCAATCCTCTCACCTCCGCCTCCCAAAGTGCTGGGATCATAGGCGTGAGCCACCACGCCCAGCCTATATTATTAATTAAACAAACCAGCCTGGATGATATAGCAAGATCTCATCTCTACAAAAAAAAGTTTAAAAATTAGCCAGGTGTGGTGGCACAGCTACTCAGGAGGCTGATACAGGAGGATTCCTTGGAGGCCATCGTGAGCCATGATTGGGCCACCACACTCCAGCCTGGACAACAGAATGAGCCCCTGATTCAAAAATAATGATAATAGTAATTAAACATACAAAACTATATTCCATATTTCTCATATTTTCCTCAGATTTTTTTTCCTATTTAGAGGACAGCTAAAGACATAGATTTTTGTTTATTTTTATTTTTAACTAGGTTATTTTCTTCAAGTTATTCTGTTCTCAGTAGTAACAGTATAAAAAAAATCTGACCATTTGGAAAGGCATCATTCACTACCTAAGTCTTTCATAGACTTTTCTTGAAAAGTTTAAGGGATGGCCTATTGCTACTAGGGTGATAATAATCTCCAAATTGCAAGCATTCTATCTGAGCATCGAATCAAAAGGAGGGTACATTTGTAACCAGTGTTTTCATTAAGGTAAGTATGTGAAAAGCTACCATTGTTGGGTCATCACCCTGTATCAAAAGGGGGTCTTCTAGTTTCCTGTTTGTCCTCAGAGAGGAAAAATGAAATATTTTCCCTATGAATTGACCACTACTTTTATCCATAGATTCCTTCCATCTTTTAGCTATTAAGCCTTTAGTAAATGTCTTTCTTCCTGTGTAGCTCAAGCACTATCAAAATCTCTGTCCCACCTATGGACAGAGAAATAGCCATTTGAATAGATCTTGAAATATCCATTTGAACAGATCTTCTTGAAAAATCATCTGTATGTGAGAATGCTGTTTTCATTACCAAGGAAATAAATAACGGCAGGACAATTGTGGCCAAGAATGATGGAAAGTCAGAGAATAAAGTGTTTACAGCAGCCAGGCGCAATGGCTCACACGTGTAATCCCAGCGCTTTGGGAGGCCGAGGTGGGAGGATTGCTTGAGCCTAGGAGTTCGAGACAGACCTGGGTAACATAGCAAGATCTCATCTATGCAAAAAAATGTTAAAAATTAGCCGGGCATGGTGGCATGTGTCTATAGTCCCAGCTACTTGAGAGGCTGAGGTGGGGAAGAACATTTAAACCTAGAAGGTCGAGGCTGCAGCAAACCAGGATTGTGCCACTGCACTCCATCCTAGGTAACATAGTGAGACCCCAACTCAGTTAAAAAAAAAAAAGGTTTATGTGACCTTTGAGTGCTTAGTTAGCCCTGGAGGCACATATACATATAGTCTTTCCTGAATTTGACCTGCTGGACAATGTCTTCTTTCATTTGCTGGTTTACCTTTTCCATCTTTCCCTTCCCAACTGCCTTTCTCCTATCTTATAAAAAAAAGTATGAACACCTCCATCCCAATATGGTCCACTGTCCTTTCACTCTTCATGGGGATGAGAAGCGTATGGTACCAAACAAAGGGATAATGATCCTAGAACGTGTTGCCCTTACAGACTAGTCCCTTGAGAGTAAAGCTGGAAACTGAGGAAAGAAGTGTCTGATTTCTTCCAGACCAACAGTTCATGGCACATCTCCATTATCCATCCGCCCATCCCTCTATCTGAACATTAGAACTACAAGGTTAAGTGGTAGTCACATCATAGAATGTGTATTAATGTTTCCATTGAAAAATGAAAAAAGTTATTTAAAGATCAATTCGGCCAACCAATTTGGCAAACGTTGATGGCAGGCGTATTCCATAAATTGAGTAAGTTAAATCTGCGTCTCTAATATATTGACCAACTAAAGATAAATATTGAAAATTGCATTTAATACATTTAATGTATGGTAAAAATGTTATGTCAACTTGTATAGGTTTTACTTTATATTTAGTTTTTTATGTCAGTATGTAAGAGAGTTATTCCTGCGCTTTAGAAGGTACCAAACAGAAGGACAGGAGTTAAAGTGTGAAGATCCCTGTTGGCTTTGTTACACCATCACTTCTAAAGTAACCAAACTGAGACCCAGAAAAGCAGAGTTGTCCCAGGTCTCAGAATTGTGTCAATTTGGAACCGGAAGTCCCATCTTCTGCATTCCATCTTTTTTTTTTTTTTTTTTTGAGTAGGAGTCTCACTCTGTCACCCAGGCTGGAGTGCAGTGGCCGCTCCCGGCCACCGCAGCCTCCACCGGCTGGGCTCTGGCAATCCTTCCACTCCAGCCTTCCAAGTAGCTGGAACTACGGGTGCGCGCTACCACGCCTGGCTAGTTTTTGATTTATTGTAGAGACAAGGTTCCACCAAGCTAACCGGGTTGGTCTCGAACCCACGGGCTCAGGCAATCCACTCACCTCAGCCTCCCGAAGTGCTGAGATTACAGGCTGAGCCACCGAGCCCGACCTGTTCTTTTTTTTTCTATACTGAGAATAAATTGCTACAATTCAGGCAGACATGTTTTTTTGTTCTTCGAGTTGGAGTCACTCTTATGCTCACGGCCACCACAGCCTTGACCTGCTGGGCTCGGGCGATTCTTCTGCCTCAGCCTTCCAAGTGGCTGGAACCACAGGCACATGCCACCATACCCGCCTGATTTTTTGATTTATTGTAAAGAAGAGGTCTCACCATGTTGCTCAGGCTATCCTCTCACCTCCACCTCCCAAAGTGCTGGGATTATAGGCGTGAGCCACTGCACCCGGCCAGGCAAGTGTGTTTTTAAAAGAATGAATGAAGAAACATCTGGAAAAAATCTATTTTTTAATCTATACTGTAACAATTATAGAATACTACTTGCTCTTTTCTAACACTGAGTATTTTTCCTAAACAGAATTTAAGATAGTGATTTTAAGATTAGCAAGCATGGCAGGGAGTGGGGAATACTCAAACAGCAAAGACAATGATGAAACCTCAAACCCAAAGCCCTCTTGGTCTGGAATACAATTTACTCTGTTTTCTTTTTTTTTAAATAATACCTGTTCCGATGATAAAAGCAGTTAAGTTAGTTACCTATTGCTATGGAACAAATAACCGTAATATTTAGCAGCTTTGAAGAACAAGCCTGTTTTATGTCCCAGTTTCCGTGGGCTGGGATCGGAGCAGCCTTGCCAGGTGGTTCTAGCTCAGGGCCACTCAGGAGGCTGCCGTCAAGCGGCAGCTGGGGCTGCTCTTCTGAAGACTGGAAGATCTGCTGGGACCATCGGAGGACTTCGGTTCCATGTCGACTTTTAGCCAGAGCCTCCACTTAGGCTGCCTGAGTATCCTCATAACATCATAGCTGGCTTCCCCCAGACTGTGTCATCTGAGACACAGGGTGACCAAGAAGGAGGCCATATTTAACCACCTGATGTTGGAAGTGGCACGACATCACTTCTGCCATATTCAGTTGATCATGTAGACCAACCCTGCAGGTTATACAAGGAAACCACGCAAGGGTGGAAATGCAGGACACAGGGATAATTCAGGGCCAATTTGGAGACTGGCCACCACAGTGATACAGGCTTCCTAATATTAAAAATGGAAACATTAAAGAAAATACTGGAAAAAATCACAACCTTGGCTTGTGGAAGGCGTGACACAATAGTCATTTTTAAAAAAAACTCCAAAGATCGATTTTAACAATTTTCAATTTAACAGTTTTCCATTGTAAAAGATACATGAAGCCGGGCTCGGTGGCTCAGCCTGTAATCCCGTGTTTTGGGAGGCCGAGGTGAGTGGATTGTCTGAGCCCGCGGGTTTGAAACCGGCCTGGGCAACTTGGCGAGACCTCATCTCTACAATAAATCAAAAAAATTAGCCGGGCGTGGTAGCGCGCGCCTGTAGTTCTGGCTACTTGGAAGACTGAGGCAGAAGGATCGCTGGAGCCCAGCAGGTTGAGGCTGCAGTGGTTGGGAGCGATCAGTGCACTCCATTCTGGGTGACAGAATGAGACTCCAACTCAAAAAAAAAAAAAAGATACATGAAAGGTAACAAATCCATGTGGGATAAGTAGAGCTTCCACAGACTGATCAAATAACAGTTAACAGTACAATATAAAGAGCTTCTATAAATTAATTTTTAAAAATAATTCAATTGAAAAAAGTATGAGGAATCAATTCAGATGGACAATTAATATGAAAAGATGCTCAACCTTATTGTTAATCAGAGATGTCAAAATTAAAATGATAAGGTCAGAAAAGACACTAAATCATCAATGTTGGTGGTATGAATAAATGGTTTCTTTTGCACATGGCCTGGATTTAGAGCTAAGATTTGGCTATAAATAGGAAAAAGGTTTTAATGCATAGCCATTGATCCAGCACTGCTATTTCTAGAAATCATTTACAGATATACCCAGCAACCTGTGTGCAGTGATTCAGACTGCATCAGTGATAGACCATCAGATGTAAAATGTCCATGAGGAGATTAGTTAAATAGATTATGATAAATCCATATCAGGGAATGAGGTAAACTCAAAAAAATATTTATAATATATCATTAAAAGGAAAATGC